CGAAGCCGATAGGGTGACAACGGGCGTGTCGTGTCGACTACGGGAGCCGGTTATCTTACCAAAACGTACAAGTATTGTCCACGAGCTGAGAAATCCTGATCGTGCAATAAAGGAAAGTCAAGTTGGATGAGTATTCGCAAATGGTCCAGGTCTTTTGCAAAGACCTTGACCTGTGAACTTTGCTTGTGTCGAGTCGTGCCACCGGAAACAGGTGGATAATGGTTAGTTTGGTGCGTTAAACGGACAATAGATATCAGTTTTGTTGTATGCGGCTGCTGTTGCTGCTGCATGGTGGCAAAGGACGAGGACGGGACCGAGATAGGAGATCTAAGTGGGCCATGCCGCGCTACGGTTATGGCGGCATAAAACGTTCCGCTAGTGGTACCGGAGAGGGCAAAACAGTCGACGTTGAGTACCGTAGAGAGAGCCCCTTTACGGCCGAAAAAACTGCCGCTATGATTGTCTATGCAAATTGTTTAAGATATCCCTCTCGGTCTTTCTGTGAGAGAGGGCTCCCTCTCCCGCAAGCACGCGCGTCCTCTCTTTCTCTTGATTCTCGATCTTTTCCTTTTTTTTTCCCACGTAAGGATGCGGCGAGTACCACACCGTTATCGTCTCGATGAGATAATGGAAAACGGAGACAAAGAAAGACAGATGAAAAGGATGATAAATAAGGTAACGTGTTAACAGGTAAAAAAAAATTCTTTCTTTCCTTTATAGCAATATTAATCATGTACGATTGGGTTAAAGGGAAAAATTTCATCGTTAATCGTTGATCGAATTAAATATTGCCCAAGACTAATATGGATGAATTAAAGATCGCGAAGAGATAGGCCGAACGTGTTGAGCCCATTGAATGAAACGCATTTCATTATCGATCTCAATGTGCACGACTCCGACTATCTCTCTCTCTCTTTTTCTCTTTTACTCTTGAACCACTGTTGGCCCGCCTTATTCCTTCCTCTCCGCGGCCCGGTAATGGTATTGCCGGTTTGTGGTTTGTATCGGCAGCCTTACCTACCTTAGATAGCTTATTGATTGCCTCGACTGCACTCCGTTCTCCCGTTACACGACAATGTAGAATATACGTTCCGCCTGAAACCGCCTCTGTGTTCGCAACCTTATACCGGGTGTAATCCTAATTTTCATCTCATTCTTTTCATTAATTTTAACCCATTAAAGTATCTTTTAAAAAAGCTAATTAAATGGATATTTTTGTTAGGTTTGCAAAAGTAACTTTAACTATTCCAAGTAGCAGCAATCCTATTCTGCTATGATATATGATAAACGAGAAAGAAAGTAAAATAAAAATAGGAAGAAAAAGAGGGTAAAAGGTAGAAAATAAAGAATTGGTAAAGCAACAAATAAATCGTGTTTCATGGAAAAGTCAGTTTTATCGCCCGGAGAGGTTTCTGTATTTGCCACCCGATATATGTGAAACGAAGTAGCATAGAGCACAGAACTGGCAAATGTAATTTCGTAGAATGTTTCCATTGATATAAGAAGAGCAGGAGCTTGTTGGTAGTTGGGAGGAACGGCTGGGTATATGGAGTAACAGAAAGAGAAAGAAGAAGAAGGAAGAGGAGGAGGAGGAGGAGGAGGAGGTAGAAAATGGAAGAACGGAAGGAGGTGGCGGAAGGAGGAGCAAAGTCGCAGGAAACTGCAAGCTAGACGGATATATCTCCCGAGTAAATTAAAATGGATTATATATGTCGACTCCATCTTCAATCTTTATTCTTTCCAGCTACGGCTCGCAACCCCCTCGGGGCTTTGGTTTATTGCTCGCGGCCTCCTGCACCCCGCGGGTAATTGTTATTGCTCAGAAATGAATGTGCAGTTTTCTTCTTCTCTCTTAAAGATTCCAACGAATACCCGGTTAAAACAGGAACTATTCTCTACGTCTTTTTTCCCCCTTTTTTATGGATTTTCTAAGACTTTTCAAAAAGTCAATCGTAAATTTAAACTTAAGATAATTTCAACATCTACTTAGATAATTATCGGTCAATGATCTTACCACGTTGGATTACTAAAGTCAAGCAACGTGAGTACAGTTAATAAAACGGATGAAGTAACCTGTCTAAAAAAAAAAAAGGAAAACTATGAGCTGTTGATTCTAGAAAAAAGTTAAGAGAAGGTGTAAGAAAATAATAACACGTACAATTATATAATTATCGGTAATTGATCAAGGTAGAAAAAGAAAACCATTACACAATTCGACGATGATCGGTTAAAGTCGGTAAATACGATTTTGGAAAGGACTAGGGTAAGAGAAGCAGCACGAGACATCGAGTCAAGCATGATATATGCTCCTCTTCCGTCTAATTAAACTTAGAGAACGTTGTCGCGGAGTTGCTTGCTTGCTACGTTGGTTGCTTGCTACGTTGGTTGGTTGGACCAACGTTTTACTGCGAAGGATGCTTCTCCTCATCGGATAGCTTTCAAAATGACAAGCAAACTACTCGTCGTAGAGTAGAGGGAGCCTATAAAAGACGTTCACGAGTGCGAACGAGTCACAAAGTTACTTACATACATATGTACATATGTAATACATTTCTAGTATATATAGTACTTCTATATATAAATAGACATATATACATAGGATTAAAGGGAGGAGGAAACGTAGCTTGTTACTGTCACGATACAAATTCATTTTTCGAAGCTAATAATTATCGCTCCGATGATTCCGATCACGCTAGAAAAGCAATGTAATTCTTGAAAGAGCTTAGAAAGTTAATCAAGCTAGTAGTTTTCATGCTCCAACGAATACACGGAACGTTTATGTGTGTACAACGACTTTTAGCGAATATCCGAACATATTGATTCACTGTAACTCATTATTCAAATTATCGGTCATATTTTTTTCTTCTTATTTCTTCTCCTTCTTCTTCTTCTTCTTCGCTTATCTACTAACAACTTCCTCGTTTTCTCTCGAGTAATCTACTTTCGTTAACGTTCCGCATTAATATAAAACGTTTAGTTACAAGTAACGTTCACTTTCGATCAGTGAAACGGAATTTCTTGATGATAGTTGTTCCTTCGATCGCGTGCACTTTATCCTACTTCGTATAATATTCTAAGCCAAGCGGAAATACGCATATAACTCAAGTTAAAACTTTTCAAGAGAAGAGAGCATAACAAAAAATGGAAAACGAAGAGTAAAAAAGTTCTGATTAAGAAGGGTTTGGAAATATAAATTTAGAATAACGTTTAATCGTTCGTAATAAACAGCGAGATGAATGAGTCGTTGGTGAGTCGAGCATAATGAAAAACGTATCCCAAAGTATCTTAGAGTAGAGTAGAGTGCTTTGCCAAACACGTAATCATAAAATCGATGATACTCGAACTACTTAAACGAAGAAACGTGAAACGGTAAAGAACAATCATCCTTTTCAAATGAAGATATATAGTTAGAGATGAAAAGAGTACAATATCGAATGGTGTCTATCGTTGAAAGGATAAAGGAAGGCACACCACGTCTAGGGACACTTTGAAACGCGTACATCGAGAGAGAGTCCCGATGCAGGGCATGGCTTACTACACTAAAATCCTTTTAACTTGGACCATCCTGCCATTCGGAAGCCGTTAACAACGCGAAAGCTCTCGGCGACGCGATTAACCGAGAGAACCGAAGTAGCACCAATAGCAGCAGCAACAGCAACAGCAACAGCAACAGCAGTGATCGCAACCAGTGCTCGCGTTATGCCACCAGTAGCAACGAGCTGCTGCTCGTCTTTTCACGAGGGCGATATCGTCATCGTGCAAACAGCGTATATGCATTAAACCGTGAACCCACTATCCACGCCGTCATATCCAATACAGGTTGTGCGTTGCGGGGGTCGCAGGAGTCTCGGAGGGTGACTGAGTGAGAGAGAGAGAGAGAGAGAGAGAGAGGAAAGGTGGTGCATATATAGGGTGCTTTCGAGGGTGTCTGCCAAGCCACCCCTACGCCTCCTACCCTCGTGCGGTAATGGCATTAACCGAGCTGCAATATGATTACCGCTCTCGCAAGGTAACTTGATCATACCCGAAATCTATGGGGTGTCCGGATAGGAACGTTTCAAAGATAGACAGAGATAGACGGAATACTATGACGAGAAGAAAAAAAAAAGGTGTCGTTCTAGCTTCGAGAAAACGTTCACGCAATTGTCTTTCATTTTTCCTTCTCCCCCTCTTAATCGTAGTGTACGCTTTTTGCAGCTCGGATTACCCGTAAATCATTAGACGATGGAACAACCCCAACTAGAATCGACGTTCCTTATCCGGGCATTAGGAGATTACTCTTTGCTCAAGCTCGTTTCTTTCCACTTAAGTTTTCTTTTCTCTTACTTTTTCTTTCTTCTATTCTTTCACTTTATCTTTTTCTTATTTTATACGAAAATTCTTTACAAAATATTTACAGTGTGTCACAAGAGTATTCGTACTATTACTATAGATATTAAATAATTGATTGCTGCTTCTAAATTCTTAAACAGATAAGAAATATATTTTAAGTATATTAAATTTGTTACTTAATAAATTTATAAATATTGTTAAAAATAATTGAATTGTTTTATATTTACTCCAAGTAAGAATATTGCAAGACCAGTATAAGTATAATTTACGTAATATAATAAAATGTTTCTCTCCAATATAAAATTAATAAAAATCTGAAAGATATAAATAAGACTCAAATAAATTTCTGCATAAAATTTAACTGAAATTTACAGTGACTACGAGTAAGAATATTTTTGTGACTCATTGTATACGAGCTTATTTATGCCTGCTAATTCGTCGTGATTAGTTTGCGATGACAACGTAAGTAAAAAAAAAGGAAAAGCAAAAAGATAAAACGATAGGTGTTAATGAAGACGACGAAAAGTAGAAACAGTGAAACATTGTTATTATCGTCGGTACGTTGACATCTTGCTAAAGAAGAATGTCGTCGTCGTCGTCGTCGTAGTCGTTGAGGTTTCTAGAAATGAAAGACAAACGTAAAGGGAGTAAAATTAAAAGAGACTTACCGTTAGGTGTTGAAACAGCCACGCCCTGAGAATGTTGGTCGCAACTTTCGGGAAGATTCCTCTCTTCTTCTGATTCTTCTTACCCGAAGAATCATCGTCTTCCTCGCCCGTGCCCTCGCCGCTACCGATACTCGCGTTGCTCGCGTCACCTGTAACAAAATTTCAAATATAAACAAATATAAAACACATCAAAAATAAGAGAACAATGAAGAATTTATTTTAAACACGCACGTTTAAGACGAACGATCCGTTTCTTATAACATCTAAACACCGACTGTCCTTTCATAAAGTCATAAACTCACCTTGAGTAATAACTGATATAAACACAAATAAAAGAAACTACAAACTAATATAATTCAAAACGAATCGATCTACCAAGGCCTAAATATAAAAATACGAGAATGATTTTAAGCCACGTTCGCGATTTTCGATGGGAGAAAGAGAGGGGGGGTATGAATGTATACCATGGGCGATAACTAGCTTTGCCTCCATTTCGAACGACAGTTCCCATGCATACAAACACCATTAAGCCACCCGCAATATTCCGGTTTCCCCTTTTGCTTGGTGCACACATACATAGATATATACGGAGACTCCAGGATCCTTCTAACAACAACAACGATGACTACGACTACTACGACGACTATTACAACGACCCTTCCTTCATATAAAATCCCCCCCGTTCACAACGCATTAATTCCCCGTCATTTATCAATCTTAGCTTTTTAATTGCACGTGACTCTCGGTCACTAGGGACCATCGTAATGAAGAACATTAAGACGGCTTATGGGTCACGCTTTCACGAAAACTCTGTAAGAAATCAAAGAGATGGTGTTCAAAATAACAAGTTTTTTGGAATGCATACGAATGAAAAAATATAAAAATTGTCAAACATTCTAATATACTAAAATAAGATGAAATTTCGAAAAAAAAGAAACATCCTTATGATTTGTAGGATTTTAGTATTTTTTCTAATACGAAATCGTTTGAAAAAAAGAAAAACGCGCGTTACGCTACTTACGCCGACGGATTATAAATGACCGAGCTTTATCGTAGTGCCCAAGGCTCTACGGAGAGGTTCTATCGTAACAGAGAGATCAGGGTTAGCACGCTTCTCTCAGGGGGTTCAGGATGACAGGTCGCCCGGGGGTGCCTCCGTGTCCTCCCTTCCTCCCCTCCATCGATGGCATCACCACACCGTGACCACCACCAGCACCAACACCACCAATACCAGTAACCTTTCAAAAGATCGTTCTCCTGCCCGAGATTAACTTTGAATTCGACGTACGGACCGAAGGGAAGCTGGAGGGACGAAAAATTTGTCCGTCGTAGGAATGGACGGACCGGAACGACGGGAGATCGATGGAAATCGCTCCTGGAATACGACGCGTCTCTTCTCTCTCTCTCTCTCTCTTTTTTTTACTTTACTTTAGGGGGTGGAGAAAATTTCAATCGATTCTAAAATCGTAGTTCAAACGTTTTGATCATTTTTTTTTTTATTTCTTTTGGTTGCATTAGGGATTGTAATTATTTTTCTATCTAAGGAAAAGTAATTTTGTGAGAAAAATTTTCTAGACAACAGGTACACCGTAGTGTACCGATGCAATTTATCCGTAGAAAGAGGGGAACACAAACAGTAACAACCTCGAGAAAACAATTACTATCTTCTCGGTTGATCTCAAGTAACAGAAGAGCATCCAGGACCTCCCGGCGACGTCTTCTTCTTCTTCTTTAGCGATCTTCTTTGCTAAAGTCGCTTGTTTTCATTCGCCGGACAAGAAGCAAAATCGAGAGAAAGAGGGAGAGAGAGAGAGAGGAAAGATCTTTCGAGGAGAGAACAAAAACGTGGCTACATCGTTGTCTCCGGTCCTTCGATGGTGGCTCCGTAATGGCGAGTAGTAGTCCTGGAGTAGAAAATGGATAGAACGGTCTGCGATGTAACTAGTGAACACGAGAGAAAGAGACAAAGAGACAAAGAGAAAGAGAGAGAGAGAGAGAGAGAGAGAGAGAGTGCTTGGAACGAGCGATGCGACTGGCCAGCGGAATAACGGAATGGTTAGTGGGAGCGTCCCTCTGATTGCAGTTAATTTACTCGACGAATCGGGTTAATGTAGCGTACAGACCGTATCGTGCGGCACCGTATACGAGCATAGACGTACCGGTAAAGAGGGTTTATCTCATTTATTCGACGATTGTCATCGCTGTAATGCCCGATTTCAAAACTGTCACCGGCCTCTCTCGCTAACGCCAACCAACAAACGTACTATCGAAATAATATATGTATATGTACCGTATCATTGTCCTCAGAACTAAAAGAAAGGTGTGGAGAGAAGAGGTGGCCAGGGAGAATGGAATTATAATTAAAAAGTTACGAAAAACATATACGTTTCATTTTAATACACGAATTTATATGAAAATCGATACTCTATTAATATTTGAGAATTTATCGTTTTAACGAAGTTGGTATCAGGTTACCAAGTTCAACAACTTTAGCTGTTATTTAAAAAGAATACAAATAATTTAAACACGATTTAGTTATTTCAGGATCAACCCAACCCATAAGTCGTATGCATCAACGTCCCACACTTAAATAATTATATAGGGATTAATCCAAGTAGATTAGCTAATTAAATACACGTTGTATCTACCCTGAGAATAAAAAAAGGGAACAGTAAAACTTCAGGTGTGTCTTAGGGAATACTTCAAAAAAAAAAAAAAAAAAAATCGTCAGTAAAGTGCACGTAACTCCTCACCGGGTTGCAATCCTATGAATGTTCATTGGCGCGTGCACTAAGCACGAGTAGGTTACGTTTACGAGGATGCGTATCGAGTTGGAAAGGCAACAACAACGATTGGAGAGAAAGAGAGAGAGAGAGAGAGAGAGAGAGAGAGAGAGTGGTAGCTGAGAGAAGCCATATCGTCCTCAACTTGATTTATGCACCTCACGCACCATTTTTACTGTCGCTTTATAGAGATTTAAGTGCGGCCAATTATACGTTTACGCCGAGTCCGTGAAATGTGAGTAAAAGATGTTGAATGACTAAGGGAGGATTAAAAGGAAGAAGGGAAGAAAACAAAGTGACTAGTTCTCCGTTCTTTTTTTGTTCTGCTTCTATATTAATACCTCTATTTAATATCATTATCATCATGGATCAGGAAATGACGAGAGACCAAGTTGAACATGTTGGTTGGTTGGAGGCAGGGCTTATAACGCTTCATGACGCTTCTTTCGTTTCTTTCTTCGAAATGTCTCGGCTATACTTAGCGAACGGGATCGAGAATAAGCCGAGCCTATTTCCAGAACTCCTCGACCCATCGTGCTACTCGTCATTCCGAAAAACGAGAGATAGAGAGATAGATACAGAGAGAGATGCTACAAGTCCTACGACTAAAGGGAAGACGTCCTTAAGTTAAGGACGTTTCTAAAACTTGTCGAAAAGATTTATGACATGTTAAAAACGAAATTCGAGAAATCACGTAAAAGGGAAATGAAGATGAATAGCATAAGAATCTCGCAAAGAATCGATAGTCATCTCGTTGGAAATACTGGAGTATGGTTTGGTTCGATCGTCGACCCCACGAAAGAAAGAAAGAAACAAAAAGAGGATGCCACGCGATAAATCGAGGCACGCCGATGATCTTGCGCGCGCAAGCTAACGCGCGTCAAGCGAAAATGTCTTCCTCGAAGGCGAGGCTTCTGCTGGCTCTATTTAGGGTGACCAGCATGCAACGTCGAAATAACACGCGCATATGGCCGCCGAAAATAAACTCCTCCTTATTCCATCCTCCGTCGAAGAAGCGAGAGGACCGTCGACTACTCTTTTCCACCTCCTCCTCATCCTATTTCTTCTTCTATTTCTCTCTCCTTTTTCACCTCCATCTTTCTCGTCTCATCGTTCCACTTCTTCGGCATTTCGAGCTACGTTCTACTCTTCTTCTTCTTCTTCAAGACGAGAAAATGACAGGGAGACATTTATTTGCCAACTCGGTCTTTCCACCCCTACGTCACAGATACACAGATAGATGTGTACATTCGTGAAAGAGAAGGGGGACAGTATCCTGTGTTAACCTCCTCCTTCACCTCTCCTCCTATTTCTCTCTTGGAGTATCGCTTTTCACGGTCACGAGATCTTACGATATCGAACTCTATATCTTGACTCGGTGCAGGTTATCTGTTTGCTAAGTACTATGCATCTCCCTAGTCGATATAATTGTTCGAAACTTGATATACCTTTTTGTGACGATGAGAAAGTATTAAGTTTCATCAAAAATGACTTGGGAAAATTTTCAGAAAATACTTTCATATACATATATCCTTACAAACTTTTCTATCAATTCGAAATCAACACGAATTATCAAATCATTTACAGATTAAATCGATCTATTCTCCCAAACGCTTTGAATCTTCGAACCGATTGGAAATTCAAAATGAGGATCGACGAATGTTTTCCCTCAATCTTGGAATCTCGAGGTCGTTGCACCAAAACACGGATTCTGGCTTGACTCTCCTCCCCCTATTCGAGAGGATACAGCATGCATCTCTCTCTTTCGTTCGTTCTTCGACGATTCCCGAAACTATTTTTGGCGATGAAATGCAAGAACGACGACGACGACGACGACGACGACGACGACGATGACGACGACGAAGCTGCACCCTCCTCCACCTACTTCTTCCAACCCCCTTCCTCCTGCTCCTCCTCCTTCTCATCTTCCTCATCTGACTGTCCTGTGTGTTCGTTCTGTTCGTCGTTGTTCGTGTCGTACGATATCGTCTCGCTCGATTTCGCTCGAGAATCTCCCTGCTAAGATATAATAGTAAAAAGAGAGAGATAGAGAGAGAAAGAGAAAGGGAAAGGGAAAGGGAGAGAAGAAGAGCCATCTCGACGCATCTGCGCCGCTTAATCCGGGAATCTGCTTAACCGGAAGATTAATCGCCGATTGTGGGCGAGATGAGGCGAGATGAAGAACTCGCGACCAAGAGAATGAGTACCAGACGAAGAGATAGAGAGAAAGAGAGAGAGAGATAGACATACTTTGTAGGAGTTTGTCTTACAAATGAGCCGGGCGACGGAGGATAATTTAGTACGACGCGTGCACAGTACCGTTTACCTTTCGGTACTTGCTACTTAGATATGTGTTAGTTACACTT